AAAGAAAAAAAAGAAAGAGAGAGATCTTTAAGCCCCGACGACGCTCAGGGATGCTTAACATCTTGGTTTTGCAGAAAGGTCATTTGCAGCACAAGTCGGCTAAAGTAGATGCACTGAAGCCGATCATCCAAATCACATGTCTGTAAAAGGTGTCAGCAGTTAGGGTCAGAGTTCACTTGACCTTATCTGACAGCGATGCCAGTGAATATTGTAAGAGGATAAATGAATAATCAGGGGCTGCATGTTTAATGATGCATCCTCGGTACTTAGCTCTCGGTTACCATCGCACGCCGTACACCTCGCGCACTCTGACCTTCCTTTTATAAACTCTTTTCCAATTCTGATTTCTGCCTCCGCATCTGTTCGTTTTAATCCTCGTCAGGTCTAATTAACGTTACAGGTTTGTGTGCTGTAGGTCGATCAGATATCAGAGTAATGCACAGAGATTTAACCATAACAGCATGTTGGAGGTTACTCAGCACACGCATACATCAGTAAGAGACTCATCAGGCAGCTGCTCTGTCCTGCCACATGGACACACACACACACACACACACACACCTACACACACACACACACACTTCCATCATGTCAGAGGACATCACATTGATTTACACTAATTTCCTGGAGAATTACCCTAACCAATGCTTACATAACCCGTACTTATTCTCCAACCTTCAACCTTCAGGCTAAAATGGAATGATTTAGACCTTAAGGACCAACTGTTAGGACAAAAAAGGAAGGCGGGTCCGGCTTCTGTAAACTATTTTTTATGTGCATTTTAAAATTTCAAGAATTTTGGAGGTTCTGGCTTTTTTTGAAACAAACAAAAACCTAAAACAAAACAACAAAAGAACCTAAAGTCCCTCTTCAGTCCCTTACAACTTGATCTTGTGTGTAAAAGTTTGCATATTTCAATTTCTTTCAATGAAAATAATCCCGTTCTTACCTTAAACTAGCTGAGATGTAACTCTAAACCCCTCTGCTACTCGCTGCAGCTCAAGCACACCAGCTCACCCAAGGCTCTGTGAACAAACACTGTAAAACTACTTCACACTACACAATGGCAAATTGGAATATTAAAGTGCTTCTGCCACGCAACAGATCCTGAAGAAGAAGAACCCTGCAAATTTACAGAATTGGTTCCTTAGTTTTGTTCCACATGAAGCTGCTGCTCGAGTCCTGACTAGAACCAGGAAGTACGACCGTATTAGTCCAGCGCTCAAGTCTCTGCGCTGGCTTCCTGTCGCTCAGAGAATTGACTTTAAAACAGTTTTGCTTGTGTACAAGTCTCTTCATGGTCCAGCACCAAAGTACATCTCTGACATATGAACCATGTCGGGCTCTGAGAACCTCGGGGAGGGTCTCCTGCTGGTGCCCAGAGTCAGAACCAAACACAGTGATGCTGCGTTCCAGTTTCATGCAGCTAAAACCTGGAACTGGATTTCAGAAGACAGGCCTCACATCTGGCAATGTTCAAATCCAGGATGAAAACAGTTCCATTTAGATGTGCATATGAGAGCTGGAAGTATTTTGTCTGTACTCTTCTAATTAATGATTATATTTATGTTTTTATGGCTTGATTTTATCTGTCTTGTTGCTTTTAATGTAATTAATTATTAAATGTGTTTTTGTTCTGTGGACTGATTTTATCTGTCTTCTTGTACTTTGAATTACCTCGGGTACGACTTGTACTACACAAATAAACCTGGCTTTCCTTGCCTGGAAACCTGAGTCTGTGTTTTTGAGACTGTCATCGGTACGCTGCACATTAAGCCTTGTCACTAAATTGTCTTCTATCTTATAAAACAACATACGGACACGCTAACAAGGTAAAAAACATTTTAAAAAGGAAACATGACCTTTAATGCGCATCATGGGAGACGAAATAAGGTCTGACATAGTGAACATGCAGCTGACATGACTGATGAGCTGTTTCTGTTTCCAGAGACTCTGGACAGCAGCAGCATGAAACATTCACAACATCAGCTGACATGAACAAATAACTACAGATGTTGAAAATTCCTGAAGACGTTTCTCCATTCTTCTCTCGCCGATGGCTAAGTCAGCTGTTTTGTTTTGCTTCTTCTTCTTCTGGCAAACAATTGGTTTTGCTTCAGTCGTGCAACCTCGACTTCTTCTACTCTGTTTATTACAATCATGTGCAACACCGACAACAGCACGACTTTCTAGAGACAACACATTTATTCGCTCCAAAGCTGGTAATGGAAACACGGCCCAATTTGCATTTTCATATTTGCAACATTTCAAAAAATTTGCTTCAATTTTGCTTCACGATTATATAAAAACATGGCTATCGTGAGTGTGAAACTGAAATATGTTTTTGTCTCCATAACACACACACACACACACACACACACTGGTTGTATCCATCCTGAGCTTTATTTCCTAACATATAGTAGCTTTCTCAGTTTACTGAACTTTGCGTCATCAGTGTTTCTTCTATCTGCTTGTAGTCACTCCTGTTATTCAGCAGCTGCCTTTTTTTTCTCACTGTGGATGAGCGGAGATGAGCCAGGGGCTACATTTAGGCAAAGAAAGCGTCCGTGCAGCTGCGTTTGATGCATTTGTGTTATTTAGAAGACACTAATACTTCTCGGCCTCCACATTTTCCCCAAATGCATTCGTCTTATCATATAAACCTCACACAACCTAACACTCTCCAAACCTCTAAACTCGCTGTAAAGGGTTACGTTTTGCTCTTGTTCTCACTCTGCTTTCTGTGGATTAATGTCAGTGGAACTCTGAGGCTGTTGTACAACATGACAAAACAACTTTAGTTTGTAGAAACACAGGAAGCAGGCGGCTTTATTCAGTCATCACACAGCAAGAAGGTGAATATGAGTTTAATATTCACAAAGGCCAAGATAATGTAGAAACTGGTGTTGGCTGTTTTATGTTTCCTCGCGGAAGGAGAAGAGAGAGTAAATGTTCAAGAAAGACAAGTTGGAGCAAAAGACTTTCATTGATTGGAGCAGGACAGCTGTGATGAAACAGCAGCAGACACTGGAGGTAATAATCATCCATAACAAAAGCCATTAGCCCAACCTGCAGTGGCCAACATATCTGACTTTATTTAAATCAGAATATATCTCATCTGGTGTTCATTCAGTCCTACTGAGGCAGCACTCTGAGCACAGGTTATCACTTTATTATGTTTTGAAATAATCAGCTCCTTTTATGTTCAACCTGGACTGGTGCTGTTGGTCGCGCATAACTTTGCATAAAACCAGAGTTCCCACGTTGTCGCTGCCGCTCAGAAAAATTAAATCAAAGTGAACTGAAAAGCCTCTTAAGCACCTGGCCTATCTGCATCGCTTTCACGATTTCACTTTCCATGTTAAATATCAACTGTAAGCCACTTTAACTAATCTAAATTTCATACGATGTGTTTAATACACCATTAACAGGATTGCATAATTATCCATAATCTGCAATCTGCAATGATTGGCATGCAAAGCTAACGCCACAGCCTCCCCGATTTAAATTCATCAGTCATGTGTGTGTGTGTGCACTCGCCTTTGTGTGTTCGTTCGCCACTATAGGCAAGTACATGAGGGTGAATATGCAAGTTCATATCCACGTTTCCATTTGAAGGGTGATCAATGGTCCATTAAGATCTTTGTCCCTTATCCGTCTCTGTCGTTCTCATATCTCACATCTCTCTATTATTCATGCCATCACTTTACTTCCAGCAGAAAGCGCTGGGAGCCCTGCAAACAAATCCTACAATTCTCTAATTATTATTCATACAGTTTAGGCTTTACGAGGGGAGTTCCTATAAATATCTCCCTTTGCTCTGTCTGTTTTCCCTGCCTCCCTTTCTGTCTTTCACACATGCACAGCAGTTGTAAATATTCACTGATTCAACATGCAAACACACACACACACTTATTATCTGCCCTCTTCAACTCTCTCTCTGTTTTAGTTTTTCTTCCATTTCTCTCTGATCAGCAGCTCGCAGCTCTGCAAGGACGAGATAAAGTGTCTTCTCCTTCTTCTGCATCCTCCCCCTCCCCCCCCACAGCACAGCACCCATCCTTCACACCACCTTGTGGAGTCCAAACCAAGGGAGGGAGATGCAGCGCAGTGAGGAGAGCTCGTCCTGCGGTATGAACAAAGGCGTGCTGGTGATTTAGTGGCCGTGCAACAACCACTGCTGCTGCTGCTGCTGCTGCTGCTGCTGCTTGGATTTACGCCAAGCACAGGTTCGATTGGCCCAAGAAGAGTGAGTGCCCCTCTGACCTGCACGGGCAGGAAGAGTGATGGCAGGTGGAGGGAGAGAAAGGAGATAAAAAGTGAAAGCTAAAGGAATGAAGGGAGGGTGTGGTCATCTCTGATAGGTGCACTCAAAACTCAGTGGGCAGTGAAGTGGTGATTTGGAGGGATGCTCGGCCTTCGCTGGAGCATGACATGCACGTCACTGCTCTGCTTTATTGTTCCGAGGTTGTGCTGCTGAGGTGCTGTGGCCGCTGGGATGGGGCTGCTTCGTTTATTCAGGCTCTATCTGACAATTCACAATGCAAAGAAATGAGATTAGAGGAGACAGGGATGAAATGGATCCTAGTGGATCTACGGGAGCCAGCGGGGCGCCTCGCAGTACAATAAATTGTTTGATGTAATTTTCTCCTCATGGGAGCAGCGGGATTGGATGAAGTATAATGATCCTGCTATCAAACCAGCAGCCTGGCCAGCACTTAATGGCAACTCATATGCAAAGCCCAGGAGAGCCTTCCTCCCCTCTTCCTCCTCCTCCTCCTCCTCCTCCTCCTGTAATTGGTCTCCTGCTGCAGCCCGCCTGGAGGCTCCTCTTCACGGCGGAGGCGCCCCCTTGTGGCGGGCAGGGGAAACGCGGGCGCCGCGGGTGGTTTAAAAGCTCCGGCTGAGGAGGCGCTGCCCACAGAACCGAGGAGCTCTACAGCGGGAAAAGTTTACCTCCAACTACTACAGACCACTTCAAGGAGGGACAACCTGCAGAGATGGCAACTCAAACGCAGCAGCCGCCTCACCTGCGCCTGGCCGAGCTCACCGCGGCGCAGTTCGTGGACATCTGGAAGCATTTTGACGCAGACGGTCAGTGCGCGCAAGTGTCCGGTCTAATCAATGTGCAATTAACTGAGAGATCAATTAGTGTTTATTAGAAGCTCAAAGATAAATTGAGAGAAATATATGTGCTATTTTAAACTTGGGTTTTTTATTTAATGTGTTGCAGCAGTTTTGTTTTCAGTGAGACTTTAATCCTTCTGCTGTGTTTTCAGGATAATGTAGTAAAATCAGCAACATCTGTACAGTAATGTCAGTAACTGCTGTTAAAAGAATAAGAAAAAAAGAAAAGAAAAGAAAAGCATACATTCACTCCGGCTAATTTGAATGGTATGCCAGCTTTATTGGGGCTATTTGTGATGTCAGTATTTTAGAATTTTACTCAAAAACATAGTGCATCTGTGATTTTTGTTGGATGTTATCACTAAAAACATCTTATTGTTGTGATTTACTCTGTTTGCTGTTAAAATGTCTCACTGCCTTTTGGGATATTTGAGTGAAGTTACAGAGAGAAGGCTGGAAAAGAGGGAGAAGACAGAGTGGAAAAAAAAGGGATGAGAAAGAGGGGAGGAGGGGGAGGGACGGAGGCTGAAAGATGAAAAGAAGAGATGGGGGAGGGAGAGAGAGGGATGCAGAGGAGGGAGGATGAAGGAGAGTGGAAAGGTAAGAGATGGGAGGATGCCACAGTGGAGAAGTGAAGGGGTGTTTTCTCCTGAATCTTGCTGGGTGGAGCTTCTGGAGCTTACTGGGAATGAACTGGTGTGTGTGTGTGTGTGTGTGTGTGTGTGTGTGTGTGTGTGTGTGTGTGTGTGTGTGTGTGTGGGCTTGTGTCACACAACTACTGCTGGAAGATCCTTCATTAATGCCATTAACGCATAAAGTCATATTCTAAATTATACTCAGTTGTATTAAAAGTATTAAAAATATCGTTCTGCAGGCAGAAAATGCAAATTCTTCTAATTACAGTTCCAGTAATGGATCATTATCACTGATGCATTAATATATAGGCGGCTGTTTAATGTCGAGCTGAGATGAGATTGTGTTGTTGAATCTGTGTCACTCAAAGTTTAAATCATATTGTTAACGTAAATATGCTTGAAAACCTCAATTTTTCTCAGCTGGTTTTATATAAATATATGTATATATATATATATGTGTGTGTTTTTGTCTGACTGAATTATTTTTTTTTCTTTTAATTTTTGACCAAATCAAACAACCAACCTGGCTCGACTGTAACTGTGATTGTAGTGGTGTATTCTGATTTTAGTGCCTTTAAAAATTTAAAGAAAAAAAAAAACAATCTTAAGGGCTAAATTAGAAGTCAAGCAATAATCAATAGATAATCAAACATGAAAATAATGATTGGCTAACAATAGGTCACATTTTATAAGTGGATTACATGTTAAAGGAGTGGAAGTG